ACTATCAAAATAAATGTGAACGTTACCTGCACTCTTCATGTTGTGCAGAGTTTCTATCTTCAAATTAGAGCAGGAAGAGGAAGGCGGCACAGAATCGGCTAATTCTGACCAGCAAGCAAACAGGCGTTCCATAGCTTCTCGGGCTTGGCCGGTGTCATCTGAGTTTGCGGCTCTATCGGACTCCACTTCGATACACTAAATTAAATTGATTTATAAGTGCATAATACTGTGAGAGACAATAAAAGAACATGTGTTAATTCAATAAATGCTGTTTTCCCTTTATTCACATTTTGTGATCTATTTTATAGCTCAAGTTAGGGTTTTTGGAAGACCCACTTGTAGTATATGTTAAGTACATTTCAAAGGACATCAAGATTTAAGGATTTTTGCATAAATTCTTATGTCAGTGACATTCATATACATTTGAGAAGGAAATACGTTTATTTCTCCACTCAAGTGTAAAAACTAAATTCAACAAAAAATTCATATATACGATCAACAAATTAGTTATTTATATATCATATATTATATATTATATAAAACATGTATTGCTATTTATGCCGACTATGAAAATATTCATTAATGAATAAAACAGTTGTGGGGAAAGCCATTCTGTGCTCATTTATTTAATTCAATCAGCTACAGAGAGTTTTAACACAACGAATTTTGCATTTAAACGTATTATTATCTTACAGAAAGAATAGACATATTTTTCAAGTGATAATTTTTATAAAATGGACATAAATGTAGACCTTTAAATGTGTCATAATTATGGTCTTTAAAATGCCCTCCCCAAAAGTATCTCTTAGATCCCAGTCGTTAAATCAAATGCATAATTAAAATGTCCTTACCCTGATGATGAGAGCCTGAAAATTGGCGAGAAAACGATCCATCACAACAAGACTGACAAGTGAAAGTTCAAGAATAGCTACAGTTGCCGAAGCCTCAACTTCAGAGCTAGGGCCTAATGCAGCACCACCACCACTAGCTGATTGACCATCAGCCACGCCCCGATGCGACTCAAGTGCAGTACCTGAGGCTGCAGTTGATGATGATGAGGATGAAGATAAACCACCGGAAGTAGTAGTTACAGCAGCTGTAGTGGCAGCTAGCGCAAGAATTTTGCACACTGGTTCCCAAAGCTGGTTTGCACGCAAGCTTAGGCTGAGCATAAACTCTGCTAATAGTACAAGCTCGTATGGCTGCAAGTTGCTGATGCCGACACCAGAAAAACTGGCCGGAAGGCCCTGTGAAAGTGAGGCTAACTGTTGACAAAGACGAGAGACATTCGCGTTCGTAGAGCAGGTCGAAAAATTTTCTCGTGATCGGCAAGTCGACAGCAGATGCACAAGTTCCTTAAGAGTGAAAGTATGTAGGTGAAGTGTAGGGTATGGAAAATATGGGCTTGAATAATTCATTAGAAAATAAAACAATGTAAGTTGACGGAGACTAGCCTGTTCATGTTGAATGGCAGTCGTAGATGGTTCGAAAAACTTTGCCTTGACTAACAATGATGAAGACCTGTCAGATACTTGGCTCATCACAAGGTTGTGTGCGCAAATCCAACAATTAAGATTTTCAACAAGAATGAGGAGACGAAGGCTACAATTCAGTCGGGAAAGAATCCCAGTAACGCCACCTGGAAGAGCATCCAAGTGGCTCGCAGCATCCATCACAGTGCAACCTTCGGTGAAATTTGATGAGATTGGAAGTCGAGCCGATTGGCTTGGCTCAAGCGTATCGGGCCCCACACCATTACCGAGCCTGGCATTTCCTGGACCGACAGTTTGACCGGATTCTGTTCGTGAAGTCGTCTGCCTGCAGCCAAAATAGCCAACAACGGGAGAATTACCATAACTGACTATTGTATTTGTGGCAATAGCGTTAGTCGCATTGCCAATAAGCTGGGCAGATGAAGGCTCAGCAAGGGGACCACTCATACAAGTCAATCTGACAAGACAGCCTAGCGTCTGGGTACCAAGAAGATCTGAAGAGCGGACAATCAAATGCAACTGGAGTGTGGAATAGAGAAAAGAAGGTAATACTTGGAAGATAAGTAGTGTAAAAAATATGAGTATAGAATTTAAAATAATTTAAAATTGCAGTCGCAGAGAGACGATTATTTTCACCGGAATGCATTTTATGATAAGAAAGTTATATTTTTAAGAAGTTGGAAACTGCCTCCTATATATATATATATATATATATTGCTTGTAAAATATACAAAAAGCGCATATTTACATAATATTTAATTACTTCAAAAAAGGTTCTCGTAGAAAGACTGA